GGGGGGTGAGCCGGCCGGCACTGTTGTGCTGCTCCTTGGTCTGGCACTTGAAAGGGACGAGTCCTGTTTTGAGAAGGAAGGCTGTGGGTCCCTGCTCGGATCTGCGGTAGCTCACTGCATCCCGCCACGTTCACCCTCCTGCGCCTGCCCCCGCGCACGCAGGCCGCCGGCTTTCAGAGGGAGCCCCCGCCCGCCCGGATAGGCACAGGTGCAGAATCTGGAGCTAAATGCAAAGGAGGCTTCTCCTTCCTTGGACGCCTTGGTCAGGCACTTTGCGCTCCAGGGGAATGACTTCTTGTGAGTGCGAGTCCCTCGCAGACCGTGAGAAGGGAGGAACCGTTCTCTGCCCTCCTAGTCGAAGCCCTCGCCTCGCCCTGGTCTGACGGAAAGCAGTAACACAAACCTAGAGGTTTTGGAGCTGGGTGTTCAGTCTTAATTTTGGGGAGACCTTGCTAAAATGTGGTTAATTTTATGACCAGGAGCTTAGTTTATTTTTGTAATGTTTCGGCTCCAGGGAAGAGAGTAAGCCCTCAACCGATGAGGCCCCAAATTTGACACGTTTAGAGACTGAACCAGCTTTTTTTTCCCTCGCAGTGGTTTTTAGGTCTCCGCTCAGGCTCTGGCGATGTGGTTGTTTGGGGAGAGCGTGAACCATGTTTAATCTTCTGTGGGGTGTTTGTTCAGTTGGTAAATGAGGCTGTCAGCTCTGGTCCTCATGCCAGCAAAGCCATCTGAGTCTGCATGTATGGCATTAGTAACATATATATCTTTTATAAAGCAAGTCCAAGGCTTTGAAATATTAGAGGCGAAAATGATGTTTTTCACTTTCTCTACATTTACTAAAATAAATATTGCGGTGAACATGTCTGCTGCTGGGAGGGTTAATGTAGGCAGAAATCCACCCCCCCCAGCTCCCCCCACCACTTTTTTTTTTTTCACTCTCCAACACAACCAAATACTTTTTGCTTTTTGGTTACATTTAAGCCTAAATTGCTGGGTTTGAAGTTTAAGTAAATACTTAGACTAGGCAATAGAAATTTCCAGTGAGCTTTCGTCACATCGGTTTCGAGCTCTGTCAGAAAAAAAAGGCAAGCCACTGCCTTCGTCCTCCCCAGCTCTTCAGTTTCCAAACTTGATGGATATAGAGGTTGTTTGGCTTGGCCCCTGGCCTCCGTGTGAAGGAAGCTCTTACATGGTACATCTCAGACAGGTTTAACTCAGCCTTCTGTTTTAGCTGATTTCAGTGTTAAATTTGAATTGACCTCAGGAGCTCCCTGGCTTCAGATTGTGACTTTGATAGTTGTTAGCAGGCGGGCTGGGCTGAGTGTGTTGGGATGGTCAACCCAGAGGAGGCAACAGAGAAGTAGAAGTCACAGCCAGCCACCTTGCATTTGTGCTGAATTCTGGGACTGTGGGGAATTAACGTCATGGGGACCAGCTGGACACCGGCAGCTTGAGCACTCCAGAAGTGAGCTCAAGGTTTGTATGGAGATAATCTGACCATTTATTTTATGGGTCTGTGGTTGTGTTTGTGACAGTGTTGGCCAGGATGGGCTTGGGGTCATCTTCAGTCAACCTGAGCATTTTATAGTACCTTTGCCAAGATGGAGGGAAAATTCTCTTTGCTCACATCTTTCTTGGCATCCAACATGGAGAAAACCATTAATCAGTACACATTAAAAAAAAACCCTCAACACAAGGAGTTCTTTTTCTCCTTAGAGCTAGACTAAAGCTCCTAACTGTGAAGTTATCAGGTCACCTGGCTCAGCTGTTTGTTTTTCATAAATTCAGCAATGTGCTTGGAAAACCCTTGTTTTTCAGACTACTTTGTGTGAATGGAAGGTGACATTTTTATTTTGCCAGCTGCAGATTCACAGGATGAGACATAAGGTACATTATTTTGAATTCATTTAGAATTTAGAAGGAGTACAGAAAAAGAGACCCCATTTGGGCTCAGCAATGGAATTGGAGCCTGAAGGTCTCTGGCTATGCTTTACTGTGTCCTTCTGCATCCTAAGGGGCCTCCCCACAGCCGTGTGTCTACACCTCTTCAGATTGTCACGGGAGAAGTGAAGTTTGTGAGACTTTACAAGAACCCAGTTATAAAGATGAAAACGATACGATGTTTTTATAACCACGTATTATGTACCTTTTAAATCCCAGGAGCAGGCACTGTGCCAGGTGCTTTACACATATTATCTCTAGTCCTTAGGACAAACCTGCAAGGAAGCTGTTCTTATTCCCATTTTACAAAAATGAAACTCCCGATGAGACGTGTGATTTGCCCGAATCACAAAACTGCAAATGGCAGAGCCAGAAATAAACACGTGTCTCTGTGGATGCGAAGCTCATGCCCTTTGCACAAAGCCCCACTGTATCTATTTGGATTACCATTTAGTAGTAGGCAAATCATCACGCTTTGTCTGTTCTCTGATTTGGGATTATGTAGACGAACTAGGTCCTTGTCAGGGACTCAAAAGAGAGACAGAAGAGTAAGTCTGTTCTTTTGAAAATACTAATGGAAAGGGGAGAAAAAGTTCTTCTTTCTCACCCATATTTTTCTCTCCTACCTTGAGCTTCTGTCCTAATTTTTTAAACAATCAAAATCCCATGTCAGAATTATCTACTTTAAGGGCAGGGGGTAATTTATAATGTTTATTTTTGGTGCTGCCCTCCACAGAAGGAATGCTGAAGCCTGGGCGAATGGTAGTTCCTTTTCTTGGAGGCCTATTTTACTTGAAAATGTGAAAGTGAGAAACTGGGAGTTCTGTTGGGAGGCCTGTCTGTGGTAATGATGGTGCATAGACAGCTGACTGTTGAGGTGGAGACTGCTCTTGCCCTGGCTGACTTTTGGCTACCGAGGTGTGACTCGGAACAGGGAAGGGTAGTCCCGTGTCCATCTTCACCTCCTTGGCCCATATTATCCTCCTTGGCCCTGCATCGTTCCCTAAAACTTCCCCATCAAAGACTTTACAAGGGCAGGGGCAAGTTAGTTCCCTATGGATATTGTCTCAAGTAATTCTTTGGCTATGTAGGTGATATATGTGGAAAGCCGTCTGTGCTTTGAACATGCTGTGCACATTCACCAAGTGGAAGTCCAAATCCCATGCAGGGTAGAAGAAAGTTCACACTCGACCCAAGCAGCTAGCCTGTTGTCTATACACACTGCAGAAAGAGGAGCTGTTTGTTACTTTGTGTTCTTTTGCTTCATTTCTGTGTTCCATTGTCTCAGCTCTAGAGGATTAATAATGGCAGGGATCCTATTTATTTAAAAGTGGATATGGGGGCACCTGGGTGGCTCAGTTGGTTAAGTGTCCAACTCTTGATTTCAGCTCAGGTCATGATCTCACCGTTTGTGAGTTCGAGCCTCACATGGGGCTCTGTGCTGACCGTGTGGAGCCTGCTTGGAATTCTCCCTCTCTCTCTGCCCCTACCTGGCTCACGCTGTCTCTGTCTCTGTCTCTGTCTTTCTCTCTCTCTCTCTCAGTAAATACATACATACATACATACATACATACATACATACATACATACATAAAAGTGGATATGGAAGGTACAAGCTGGGTGATGGCACTGGATTTTCAGAGTAATGTATCAGATCTAACATATACCACTTTGCCACCCCTAAGGTTCAAAAGAAGTCCTTTGGTTCTATAAATAGACACATATGTTCAAAGGAAGGCACAGCTAACATTTACTGGATATCTGCCATGTGCCAGGCGCTGTGCTGCTAAGTGCTTTCATGTTCATTCTCACAGTCAGTGATGGGAAGATAGTGTTATTATTCTGTCTTCGTAGTTGAAGACACAGGTTAAACACGATTGATTTGTTTAGGATCACATGACTAGTAAGGAGTACACCTGGGATTTGAAGCTCTTCCCAAAGACCGTTCGTTCTTTCTTTTTCTTTCTTTCTTTCTTTCTTTCTTTCTTTCTTTCTTTCTTTCTTTCTTTCTTTCTTTCTCTCTCTCTTTCTTTCTCTCTCTCTCTCTCTCTCTCTCTTTCTTTCTCTCTCTCTCTCTCTCTTTCTTTCTTTCTTATTTAGAGAGAAAATGAGTGTGAGTGGGGGAGCCACAGAGAGAGAGAGAGAGAGAGAGAATCCCAGGCAGGCTCCAAGTGAATGCAGGGTTTGTTCCCATGACCCTGGCTGGCATCATGACCGGAGCCGAAATCAAGAGTTAGATGCTTAACTGACTGAGTCACCCAGGCACCCCCAGAGACTGTTCTTTCTGTGATATATTACTGTCTTATGTGATCCTGGACCTTAGAGACATCTTGTTTGGTTTCTCATATGATGTCGAGTAGAAATCTGACCTAAATTAGTACATTTCAAGTAAAAGGGTGCATTGAACTGCTGAAGGCATTTCACTGTATCTAAAACAGTTTCTGCCATCAGAAGATTCCTACCTATTTTGAATCTAAATCAGTTTCCCTGCAACTTTCACCCAGCTACCGGTCATGGTTCTAACTTTAGAGGCCATGGAGAACAATTCCCCTTTCATCTGATAACCCTCCTGATAGCCTAATGTATTAGTCAAGGCCAACGTAGAAGACTGAAACCACCAGTAACCTGAACAGGAAAAGTTTAATATAAAGAATCATTAACCAGTAACGGGTGATTGGTGACTAAGAAGTAAAAACTGTCAAGATAACAGGAGCCCCTTCCCCAGCTAGATGTGAGATTCAGACCTTGTTGGAGAGCGTGTGACAATACGTAGCCCACTGCATAGTGAAGTGTGTGGGGGTTGCAGGCTCAGTCTGGTGACCGGGAAACCTACCGCCCCCCTTCAGTACCCACGGAATTCAATAGGAAGCTACCCAGAGCGTGTTCTTGAATTTACTAGGAAACTGTTGAGGGCTTCAGTGAGCTCCCGTGGAACCACCCATGGCGAGGGACCCTCAGCTGCATTGCTCTTGGGGGTCTCTGCAGAACCTGTTGTGAAGGGGCCCCTTAGAGGTGCCACTTACACTTGGTGGGGAGAAGTGCGGCTGTCTGTCTGTCTTCTGGCCAAAGACCGAAGGAGCAGGAAGTTAAAGAGGCACACTGAAACCTACAAGAAAAGCCCCCTTCCCTCCCAAGGGTCCCTCCAGCACCCTCCACAGACAAAACCTAGAATTGAGCTAGTTGGCAAAAGGGAAATGTATACGGGATCTAGTTCCAGTATGAGAAACAGGGCAATGAAGGGTGGCATTGGAGCTGAGGGGCAGTACGCTGACAGCTGGCACAGTTGGTTTCTTTAAACATTCCATAGAAATCCTGGATTCATGTGCCTGCACTGCCCCTGTCACTCCTCCCAGACTGGACAACAACACTCCTCCAGGTTGTTGGAACTTTCTCCGTATTTTGACACCCAAATCTGAACACAAAAGCTCTCAAAGTGTGGCCCAGGGACCTGGACATCCATGAGAATCTTGCAGGGGGTGTGGGAGGTTGAAATTATGTTCATAATAATACTAAGTCACCTCCATTTCCCACTCTTTATTCTTTCACAAGGTGACAGAGGAGTTTTTCAGAGGCTACGTAACATGGGATAACATCAATCTAGTGGCTAGTGGAATGTGTGCTTGTGTATTCTTGTGTTTTAAAATTTCCTCAGTTTTCATTTCTCATACAAATAAATTGTGTGTGTGTGTGTGTGTGTGTGTGTGTGTGTGTGTGTGTGTGTGTGTATCCCATATAAGGAAAACTTCTTTGGGGTTCTCAACGATATATATATTTATTTATAATATAAATTATTGTCAAGGTAGCTAACATACATTGTATACACTGTGCTCTGGGCTTCAGGAGCAGATTCCCATGATTCATCGCTTACATACAACACCCACTGCTCATCCCAACAATGTGCCCTCCTCCATGCCCATTCCCATATCCCCCTCCCCCCCACACCCACCCCAGGGTTCTCAACAATTTTTAAGAGCCTATAGGAATCCTGACACCAGAAAGTTTGAGACTCAGTGGTCTAGTAGGTGGGGCTATAACCTCTTATATTTTAGACGTTATGATTCATGTTTTATAAGGATTTAGACAGTAGATTTATGCCAGGGGTTTTATTTACCTGGAAGAGGGAGTGGGGAGCAAACGAGAATAAGGATGACTGCTGGAGAAAACATTGAACTTCATTGTTTTGTCCCAGATCTAGACAAGCATGAGGTGTTCAAGCTGCAATAGATCGTACATGTTCTGTTTGGTTTTTGATGCTAAACAGACTCAGATTCAGTCACAGGCCTTCTCATTTATTAGCTCTGTAACTCCTGCCAAATTACTTAATCTCTGTGAGCCTTGTAACTACTGCTACTACTTTGTAAGTAATTTCTGCCCCACGGGGTTGTCAGGAGGATTGGATGACATTGCATCTACAAAGCGTGTGGCATATACTAGTTGCTTAGTAAAGGTGCCCTCCCCCCACCCCTGCTTATTCTTAGAGGAGAACGAGAAGGAGTTGCCTGAGACCCCATAGGTAATACAGGACTCAGGTCTTCAGTCTCTCAAGTCCTGTGTCCGTCCATTTATTCCACAGTTATTTATTATGTGCTTCTGTGCCAAGAAGGAAACTATAATTAACTACTGTTATTGATTAAAAGGCAGTGACCCATAGGATCATTTCTTTGGTGTTCAGTTCAGTCTTTTCCCAAACATACTTCTTGGAGTTGACTGCTTTTTCAGGCTCTGTGCTTATTTAAGGCTCAATGCCTTCCATAATTACAGGGCCTCCATTGTGCCGGCTTCTTCCAGGACTCTGGAAGTGTCCCAACAATGTGTTACATGGATACACTATAAAATGTACCTTAGTGAGATATTTCATCTGAAAGCAGTAAAGACAGCCTTTTCCCTTCTGACTCTCCCTCACCACACTTCTCTTTAGTATGGGGACCTGGGAGCGGCCACAGGCATTTGGAACTTCAAGACCCACGCAGACTGCATCTTTCCACAATTACACAATGGAGTTTTGGGAACCAGTATGATACCTAGCTTTCCTCTTGTCATTTGACAAATGCTGTGTGAAGAACACACTACCTTCTGCAAAGAACCCCGAGGTCTATGGACAGGGGTGCTATGCTAAATGCACCATTTTAAAATGAGGAACCTGTGGTTGAATTGCTTCAATCATTTCAGAGTAGAATGGCAAAAAATGTAAGGCAGGTCATGGGTTGGTGTTTCTTCAGTATACTAGAAAATCCCGCATAATTGGACCTAGAAATTTGATATTTATTCTGTAAATTGGTCATGATGAGAAACCAAACCTAGTGAATCAGAGCGAAGGGGTGGTTGAGGGGATAAAGTGCTAAGTTAAGAAACCCACGTTGTTCAGTGAGACCCATTTTGAGGGCTGGATTTTAGCAGCATTGATCTCTGTTTGCGATTGCATTGTGGAGGCCGGCACATCGGGGCAGACACCTCGAGCGCGTGCTTTGTCTTTGCTGGCAGAGCGGAGGCATGCTTTGAGCTGGGGTGTGCCTGGCCGGAGGTATTCAGGGGAGCCGGTGGAATTCTGGTAGCAAACCCTGGGCCTGAGAATGAGACAGTGTGGACTTGACCCCTCCTCTTGTTGTGATCTTGGGTCTCTCTGCTTCTCTGTGTCTCAGTTGTGAGCGGAAGCCATCTGTGCACTCTGGCTAAGACAGCCTTGAGGTTGAGTAGTGTTGTGAGGACCTAGAGAGGACAGAAGTACTTACCGAATTTTATAACCAGGCATCTGTAAGAGCTCCACCGTGCACAGTTGTACGTGTGGGTTGAGTGGGAGCCGTGGAAGTAAGTTCCATCACATCTGTGGCATGGTGCATTCACTGCTTTATCTCCTCACAGAGGTTAGAAGAGTAATGCATGCCTTGTTTCCCCCCCCCCCCCAGACTCTCTCTGGCCCAAAATCCGGGTTCCATTAAAAGTTGTGAGGACTGCTGAAAACAAATTGAGTAACCGATTCTTCCCTTACGACGAAATCGAGACAGAGGCTGTCCTGGCTATCGACGATGATATCATCATGCTGACCTCTGATGAGCTGCAGTTTGGTTATGAGGTAAGGAGGTTTCAGACAGTCTGTTTACATATTGACTGTTTCTTGCCTAGCGTTGCTTGTCTTTCCTAATGAAGAGGATTAGATTTCATCGTCTAAAGCCACAGTTTCTACTCCCTAGTCCATAGTGCATAAGAGCGTGGGTTATGAAGCTGTTCTCCCAGACTTTGGGGAAACCCTATCCTAGAGTGACAGCTGTGGCCTCCACTACTTTTGGGAACTCCCAGGGAGAGTCCCAGGGGATATTTTCAAAAGAGCGTCTATAGCATTTAACGAGCACTTAATTGATGTCTCCTCGAATGGCACTTCCCCTGACTCAAGCAGCTGGGCGCGGCAACAATAAAAACGCCAATGAGCAGAGACGCTGGAGACGCTGACAAACAGAAAGCAGACCCTGTTGATGGCTTTCTTTCTGAGGTTTAAGTGGAGAGGTTGGCTGCCTGTCTTTAGGGAGAAACATGCTCTATCACCGTTCATTCAGTGCGGCTGATGGATTAGGCTGGGTTCAAGGGTTAAGTATGGAGACCAGTAAAGGTCTCCCCAGGGGAAAGTGCCAGAGCCGAGGCCTGGTGAAAAGCAATAGGAATTGATGAGCTCTGTCAGGGAGGATGTGCGTGAGATGCATGGCATGACGGCGGCAGGAGGAGGCCTGCGGTGCGGGGATGTGACGGCGGCATCGGACCTAAGCAAAACAGAGAGTATACGTCAATTAGCCACGGCCGACACAGGGAAAGTGGTGCGGTCTGTCCCCTACACTCGTCCTGCCCATGAGAGAGGCAGCTGTCTTTGTAGTTGACTCGGGGTTTGCTGAAGTTGAGGTTCTAGGAAATCACGAAATGTTATTATATGAAGCCATATTTGGCACTCAGATTTTATTAAATGAATATATATTCTATATTGTATATTTATTATAGAAGTTCATTTTCTAACCCTTAAGCTAGAAGTGGATTTTCAGGGGAAGAAATAGGAATCCCCCTGTCACCACCACCAAAAATTAAAAGCTCAAGTTCTTTGTTTGTTTGTTTTTTTAAGTTTGAGTGTAACAGAAATTGTTGTGAATTAGGCTGGTGTGTGATACAGTCAGTATAGTTACTGGCCGGTGAAAGGCGTGAGAGTGGCTAATCAAACATGTGTGTCATCTTTTTGGGTTTATTCTCATTCACAGAGATGTCTTTTACATTATCACATCTAGGATATTAGATGATTTGTAGCACACTATCATTCCCATTTTTTTAAAAAAAGCGAATTACCTACTTGTTTCTCTAGCCAACTCATGGCAAAAAGACCTTTTTTTTTTTGGCCAGTGTTTCCTCTCTTCGTTGCATATAGTGGCTTCAGAATATATTCATGGGTTTTTTTTTTTTTTTTTTTTTGTGGTGAAAGGGAGGTGGATAAAAGGGAACATTTGGAATGATATAGCCAAGATGGATAGAGTGCTCCCTCCTCAGTATTTTCAGTTGGGCTAAATGAAGTCTAGTGAAAGAAAGGCAGACTTGAGGCACCTGGCTGACTCATTCGGTTGAGCGTCCTGCTCTTGATTTTGGCTCAGGTCATGATCTCACTGTCGTGGAGTGGAGCCTGCTTAAGAGTCTCTCTCTCTCCCTTTCCCTGTCTCCGCTCATGCTCTCTCTCTAAAAAAAAAAGAAAGAAAGGTGGACTAAACGTATTCCTTTTGACCTTGAGTTGAAATCTTAAGATGTTATGTATATTGAACCCTGGGATTTCTTTCAACCTTGAGTTTGTTTCAAGCCTCTTCCGCTCTTTCCTCTGATGACCTGTGTTTGATTCCACATCACCTTGAAGGAAGTACCTGCCTATTGGAGGAGTGGCAGGCAGGAAAACACCTCCTCTACATTAATCTGAATCTTCTCTAGATGCCATGGAAGGCGAACTTTCATAACTACTCTCTGTATTCCAGTGAATGTTCTGGGTGTTCTTATATTACTTACGATCTTTTCTCACATCTGCAAGACAGTTACTGCTTTTCTCATTCTTTACTAAGACTAAGAAGGTTAGATAACTTATCTACAGTCACACAGCTAATGAGTGGAAGAGTTGGAATTTCAGTCCAAGTCTGTCTACACTATGCTGTCCTCTAAGATTTTACCCTGTCAGAGACTACTGGTTTGCAAAAGTAGTACGAAGAGCCATGAGCGTATCAGTTCTCTCTCACAGAGTTATCCTGATGCTAAGGAAAACAAACAGGTTTCTCAGGCATCCCTACCATTGGTGCTTTAGGGTAACTTTGTAAAAGTTATTTCTTGCATAGTAGTTAATATAATGGACAAAGTTAGGATAGCTCTGGACCTGAATTCCTGCCCTTTCACTGACTAGTTAATGACCATGGACAAGTTTTTTAATCTCTCTGGATGTTATTTTATTCTTGCATAAAATGGCAGTAACAATATCCACTTCATTAGGTTATTGTGTACATAGAAAATTCCGTAGTGCCTAGCACATGGAAAGAGAATGCTCAGTGACTGCTCCTTCTATGTGGTAGGCAGTATCCTCTGCACTTTACAAGACACCATGTTGGCTGCTATAATGGCGGCTACTATGGTTATTCCCATTTCCCACTCATGACTCCGCTGTGGTTCATGGGAAAGGTTGTTGTTTCCATTCTTCTTGGGACATTATTGTTCTAGAGAGGGTACCCGCTTTTGTGTTGAGTCAAAAGACAGAAGGTGATGGGGCTCCTGATCCTGTTTTTTGTTTGTTTGCTTGTTTATTTGTTTGTTTTTGGCCAAAGCCTGGGATTATTTCATGCAGGAATTGGGAGCAAGCCTGACTGATAAAGTGAATTAATAAATCTGTTAACAAAAATTTATGTCCAAGGGGAGTTACGTTGGAACCCAGAGCTACTTTCTTGTGCTGAGCACAGTGCATTTGGATTATATCTATCTTATTAATTGCTACTCATCCGTCAGCACTCAGCTCAATTGTTGCTATCTCAGAGAAGCTTTCAGGGAGGTTAGGTTCAGAGCATTCTACCTCTTTGTAAGCAAATAATTAATTGTGAAGTATATTGTTTAATGTCTGCTTTTCTTCTAGAATGTAAGCCCCACAAGGGCAGGAATCATGGCTGTCTTGTTCATTGCTTTATCTCTATGCCTGACCCGGTTTATTCCATTCAGTGGTTACTCAGTAATAGTTGATGAATAAACAAACCTTTATCACCAGCATGCACATGAAAGCTGTGGAATAAGTTACTCCGGCGTGCGTGCCCGTCCACCGTGATCCACAGTCTGGATCCAGCCATTTTGAAAAACCATTTGGAATTTCAGATGCTAAGCATATACCTACCATGTGACCCACCATTCTTCATATAGAGATTTACCCTAGAGAAATAGGAGCACACATATACACAAATACTTGTACACCAATATTCATAGCAGTTTTTATTTGTAAAAGCTGGAAACTAGAGGAAAAACACAGAATGTCCAATCTGAATGAATAATCGTAGTATATCCATACAATAGAATACTACTCAGTACTAAATATGAATGAGCTATGGAGACATACCATGGATGTATTTAATAATAATTAGGATGAGTGAATGAAGCAAGATGAAAAAGAACATATATTATGATTACCTTTATGTAAAATTTTAGAAAATACAAACTAATTTTCAGTGATTGAAAGATCAGTGGTTGCCACACTTAGGAGTGGGGAGGGTCAAGCTGTGAAGAGCAAGAGGGAGAATAACAAAGAGGCAAAAAGCTTTTAGGGGTAATGGATATGTTCATTATCTTAACTGGGATGATGATTTTACTGTGTATATAGATGTACACATACCAAATTATGCATATCAAGTTATACACTTCAAATAGATTTAGTTTATCGTATGTCAAATCTTATTTCCAAAAAGCCGTAAAAAATTATATTCACGCAAATGTGTAAAAAATGCTTTAAAAATTGAAGGTAATGTGTACCAGATATGTTCAGTAAAAACTACAAAATGTTGCTGAGAGAAATTGAAGTACAACTGCATAAATGGAAAGCTGTATCCTATGTATACATTCAAAAGTGTAATTTCTCCCCAAATTGTTCTGTAGATTCAAAGCAATCCCAGTCAGAATCCCAGACGGCTTTTTCTTTTTTCTTTTTTTTAATTGAAATTGACAGACTTGTTCTAAAATTCAAATGGAAGCAGAGTAGACCTGAAAAAGCCAAAGCAATTTTGGGAAGTAGAACAAAGTTTCAGGACTACCTCATTTTAAGAATTATTATAAAGCTACAGTAATCAAGACACTGTGGTATTGTTGTCAACTTAGACATACACATCAACGAAACACAATAAAGAGTCCAGAAGTAGAGCACACATGTATGTCGTTAATTTTTGACAAAGGACCCAAGTCCATTCAATAGAGATGGGAGAGTCTTTTCACTAAGTGGTGTTAGAACAATGTGATATCCTTATGTCAAAGAAAAATAAATCATGACCCTCACCTCACAGTGTATGTAAAAATTTGACTAGTCCTCAATGTAAGAACTAAAATTACAAAACTTCTTAAAGAAAGCAGAGGAGAAAATCATAGCACATTGAAGCTAAGCAATTATTGTTAAATAGGAGACAAGTAGCATGACTTATAAAAGAAACCAAAATGGATAGGTTGGACTTCCTCAAAATTACAACACTTGAAAAGACACTTCTAAGAAAGTAAAAAGGAAAGTCCTATATTGGGAAAAATATTTTCAGAACATACATGTGGTAAAGAACTTGTATCTAAAATATATAAAGAGCCCTCACAACTCAGGAAGAAGAAGACAAAGAAGTCAGTAAAAAAGAAAAGGGGCAAAAGATTGGAGCAGTTACTTCACAAAGGAAGATAAGATATGTAGGTATAAACTAACATACGAAAAAGTCCTCCACATCATAGTCATTAGGGCAATTCTAAAATACAAGCACAGTGAGTTACCACTACATACTCACTAGAGTGACTAAAAAAAATGTAAAAGAATGACAATGCCATGTGTTGATGAGGCCATGGAGCAACTAGAAC